GTACAATTTGTCAAGGGTTCTGAGTCATGATTGATGAAGTTCATGGAATGCATCCAACAGTTTTCAATGGAATACAAGAGGAAGCTATGCTTGGAAGTTCTTACACGGTGGAATTTTACCTATCTTATGCTTGAAAGAGTAGTTGAGTATTGCAAGGTGTTTTGCCACTTGAAATTGGTGGACCCATACTATTGTAATTGCCCAACTGAAGAAGAATGGGTAAAGGTTGAAAAGATTATGGGCTTTTGAGACCATTTTATGAAGTTACAAATATTTTCTTGGGAATAAAGTACCCAACTTTAAACTTGTTTTTCCATAGAGCTTGTCAGATCGAAGGAACTTTAAGAGATGCATTAGAAAGCACATATTAGTTTATAAGCGTGATGGCTAAACCCATGCAAGAAAAGTTTGACAAATATTAGGTAGAATATAGTACTATTTTGGCCATTGTTGTAGTTTTGGATCCCCAATACAAGTTAAAGATTATGGGATATGCATTTACAAGGTTAGATGGTAAGGATGGGAAAGATACAAGTGTTCATGTTCGAGACACATTGTATGCATTATTTAAAGAATACATGAATCACTATTCATCCATTGATCTAAGTGCTTTCACAATTCCAATTGAGGGTAGCAACGCAACATGTTACAATGAATATGGTTTTATGAAGGTGAGTATTATTTTATATCTTTGTCTTGATGAATGATAACAAGTCATATGCAAAATGATGATTATATATTGGTTTGCATTTTTAATTATATGTTTCTTTGTATTATGTAGGATTATGATGCTTACGAAAGTTTAAGTCTTTTCTACAAATGAAAGGAAGTTGCAGCTTGACTTGTATGTGGAAGAGTGATATGTTGAGAGATAAACTGAATTAGATATTATAGAATATTGGAAGTCATCTGAAAAACGATTTCCCGAGTTGTCTCTAATGGCTCGTGATATTTTGAGCATTCCAATTTCGATTGTGGATTTTGAAGCAACATTTAGTGAAGGGGGAAGACTATTGAATTAGTACCGTAGCTCTCTTGCCCCAAGAATGGTTGAGGCATTGATTATTTGAATGCCATTTATATATATTTTAACTTACAACTATATTACAATTGTGGTTTTTTGTGGCATCTGGCGACAACAAAGAGAGTGATATTTGATAGAAGAACTCCTGGTAAAACCAATCATTTTGCACTCCTTAGAAGAGCTATCTCTTCCATTTAATTCTAACTAAACAAAAATTTGTAATATCTTATATGGTTTTTCTTTCAAACATTACTTATCTCTTTGCTTACTTAGTTTATCAATTATGATGTATCCATCTTTACCATGCTAAATTTTGATATTATTGGAAGGTTCTTATTTCTTAAAACATTATATTATGCATTTTTTCTGATTTTTTCTACAAAAGTTATGCATTTTTTACAATTCTCTGCCTTTTTTTTGCATTTTCTGCAATTTTCTGGTATTTTTTGCATTTCTGTAATTTTTTGGTAATTTCTGTATTTCTGCAATTTTCTGCTGTGTTATGCAATTTCTATAATTTTCTGGTGTTTTTTGCAACTTTTTCTATTTTTTGCAATTTTTAGCTACTTTTCTACATTTTTGCAATTTTTTGGTATTTTTCTGCAATTTTCTGCTATTTGTTTGCATAATGTTTTCAATCAATTTTTTGGTATTTTCTATAATTTTCTATGATTTTGGCATTTTTTGCATTTTTTGTGCTTTTCTGCATTTTTTGGTATTTTTTGCATTTTCTATAATTTTTTTGCAATTTCTGTAATCTTTTGTAATTTCTGCTATGTTTTGTAATTTTTGTATTTTTTTGATATTTTTTTCAATTTCTACTATTTGTCTGCAATGTTTGCAATTTTCTGGTATTCTTTGCTATTTTTCTGCATTTCTGCAATTTTCTGGTATTTTTTGCTGTTTTTTGTAATTCTCTGGTATTTTTTGCATTTTCTGGTATTTTTCTGCATTTTCTACAATTTTATGTTATTTTTTGGTATTTTCTGTAATTTTTTATATTTTTTGCAATTTCTGTAATTTTCTACAATTTGCTGCTATTTTGTGGTATTTTTTGCAATTTTCTGCTATTTGTCTGCATAATGTTTGCAATATTCTGGTATTCTCTGCTATTTTCTGCATGGCTGCAATTTCTGTAATTTTCTAGTATTTTTCTGCAATTTCTGCTACTTTTCTACTATTTTTCTACATCTTCTGCAATTTTCTGCTATTTTGTGGCATTTTCTGCATTTTTTATGGTATTTGTCTACATAATTTTTGCAATTTTTTTTTTCATTTTTCTGCATCTTTTTTTGCAATTTTCTGATTAATTTCTACATTTTTCTGGTGTTTTCATGAATTTCTGCAATTTTTTGGTACTTTCTGCATTTTTTGTACAAAAGTTTTGCTATTTTTTGGTTTTTCTGCATTTTTTTTTGCAATTTTCTGGTATTTTTTACATTTTTTTTTGAATTTTCTGCAACATTAATGCCTTTTTTGCATTTTCTGCAAAGTTTTTTGGTATTTTTTCTGCATTATTTTTGCATTTTCGAGTATACAGCTCGACCTGACCCGTTTCTATGGTGTGGCATCCTTAGCAGAGATCATTCTTTGAAAATGTTGTTTTCAGATATACGGGTTAACCCGACCCGTTTCTACCACACGGCATCGTTGATAGAGACTATTTTCTTGGCATTGTTGTTTTCGGGTATACGGTTTGACCTAACCCGCTTCTGCCACATGGTATCCTTGATAGGGATTATTTTCTTGGCATTGTTGTTTTCGGGTATATGGGTCGACCTAACCCACGTTTGTATTTATAGGTGAGGGTGGGTAAGGATCAATATGAATGGGTCAAGTGGGTCAATGTGGGTGGGTCAGGATTAGGGTTATGACCCTTTACCAAGCATTAATGATGGGTTGGTGGGTCAAGATGGGTAGGTTGGTATTCAACCCTTTACCAAGCATTGCTAATATTTATTCATTGTTAATTTTGTTATATTTGTTAAAAAAGATCCTAATATTTTTATGTAAAATAGGATTCCAGTTGACCAACAAATTCCATATTGTGGTCGAAAGATTATGACAACACATAATGCGTTATGCACTTGCTCTTTTGACATGCATTTCACATTTGTGTAAGCTGGATGGGAAGGGTCCGTAAACGACTCTAGAATTTTCATAGAAGCATTAACAAGGCCTGAACTTGAGTTCCCTATGCCTCCAAGTGGTATGAAAATAATTTTATGTTCAATTTTAATTATATAGAATATAAAATTTAAGAAAAAACTGTATAACTTTATATATTTGTATTTATTGTGTTTTAGGTAAATATATTATGTAGCAAATTCAGGTTTCACCACCATTACAAGATTTCTCACCCCATTTAAAGGTGATCGTTATCATTTGCATGAATATAGGATAGTGAGACAACGACTGAAGGATGCTCGTGAGCTGTTTAACCTTCATTATTCATCACTTTGTAATGTAATAGAACGATGCTATGGAGTATTGAAGGAACGTTTTTAGATTTTGAACTACATGAAGCCTTATAGTGTTGACACACAAAGGCGCATAGTCATTGTATTCTATACACTTCATAATTTCATTAGGTGGAGACATTACTTGATCAAGAAGATCCATTGTTCAAAATATATGAAAATGAAGAGGTTGTCAGAGATAATAATATAGTTGCATCAACAAGCACACAAACACTAAACTTGAGTGCTCGTGATTGAGATGAAACAATGAAAAGGTTTAGGATAGAACGATGCTTTGGAGTATTGAAGGAACGTTGTTAGATTTTGAACTACATGAAACCTTATAGCATTGACATACAAAGGCGCATAGCCATTGCATGCTGTACACTTCATAATTTCATTAGGCAGGAGACATTACTTAATCAAGAAGATCCATTGTTCAAAATATATGAAAATGAAGAGGCTATCAGAGATTGCATCAACAAACATACAAACACTAAACTTGAGTGCTCATGATTGAGATGAAACAATGAAAAGGTTAAGGATTGATATTGCTAACTAGTTGACCGATAAACATGGATATGAACGACTTCCAACACGCTGATAAATAAATTAAATGAAACTCATAGACATTTTATACTTCTTTATATTACTCATTTTGATGTTATACATTGCTTCTTTTCATTTTATATATATTTTTAATGCAACAAATTGTAAAAGCTTCTCAATTTTTTTTTGTCGTTTTTCATATTGTGTTATTGATGTAGGGCCCACATGATTCCATGATATATATTTGCCATTGAGTGTTGTATGTAGGGGTGTCAATTGGATTGGATTTGATCCAATTCAATCCAGTCCAATGTGAATACATTATAAATGGACCAGGTCCAATCCAATCCAATGAATATTTTGGATTGGTCCAATTCAATGTCTAGATTGTCCAATTTGTTCAAATTTGTTTTGATTTAGATTGGTTTCCACCCAAACTTGGTCCATCGAGACTTATATTCTACCTTATATCAATTGGCCAGATATTGGCTTAATCCAACCTAATCCAATATAAATTTTTATTATGAACGCACCGGATGGTCCAATCCAATCTAATAAATATTTTGGACTGGATTGGTCCAATCCAATATGTCTTGTTGGTTCGTCCAATCTTTCTAAATTGATTTTGGGTTGCATGGGATCCAAGCCAAAACCGGTTTGACACCCTTATATTATTATTTTGATTAATAAAAAAATGAATGATAATGAAATTTGTACAAATTTTACTCTCATTCTTGCTGTAAAAAAATCATTTTTTTGGGAAAAAAACATTTGGTTCATAGCAATATTTTCTCATTCTTCACATTTTACCCATTTTTTTCTATCTTAAAATTTCATCTTGGGTAAGAATGAGAAAGAATGAGAATTGAACCCATTTTGGTTCGCTACCACTGGCTAGTCTGGCCTCATTGTTTTTATTCTAGCCAATTCTGAAAAAGAATGGGCAAAAATGAGTGAGATGTAGGTGTTTGGATAATCATTTCTTGTTGCAGGATTCATTCTTCCCATAATGAAATTTGGGTCTCTACAAAAAACTGAACATATTTTGTGGCATGAAAATTTTTCGTGCGCCATCTTACCAATTCTTTTCTCGTTTGAGTTTGAAACTCTGAGTCCTCTCGACTGAAGTCACTTAACCCTCGTCCCTCTCCCTTTGTGTGTGTGTGTGCAAGGTATCAATCTCTAGTGAGGATAAGATTGATCTCTCATCATCTTCTTCTTCTTTTTATTTCTCGTCTTCTTCTTCTTCATCTCCTTCTCAAGCTGCACACAAAAGATGGATACCTCCTCCTCCTCCTCCTCCTTCTTCTTCTTCTTCTTCTTCTTCTTCTTCATTGTCTTACTCTCTATTTTTTCCCCTTTTAGGTTGACCACCAATATCAGCCCTATAACCATTAAGAGCAAGCAACATCAATTAAGGTATTTGATCAATTTTTGTCTCTTCATTGTTTTCTTTATTGGTATTTGTGTGTTGGAATCATTATGGAATTTATACGCTCTTTTAAGTATAAATTGTTGTTGTTATTTTGATGCAATTAAAGTAAACTACTTGAATGAGAAAATTACAGTGCCAATTTTACACATGTTGCGTCAAGATGTTTGATTAATTGACCAACTGATTCTAGCATTGAGATCCATTCTGCCTCATATGCGTTCAATAAAATACTTGAAGGACTAGAAGTTTTGTTTATTAAGGGGGAGTAGGGGGAGTATATGTCCTGCCTTAGGTCCATTTATTTTTATTTGTTATTGTGTGTCAGCAGGGTATTTGATATGCTAAAGTCTCTGGTAGAATGTGTTCCTTGTATTATCATATCTGTGGTTGGATCCTTGTTATGTTGATGGTATATTGTTGCCAGTTGTCACTGTGAAATTTGTCAAGAGGTGGACCTGATTATTTGACAACTAGTTCATAAAAAAATTTGCATACAATCTTAAAAGGAAATAATCTAACTTGACTTGCTTTCATATAATTAAAAGAAAAAATAAAATTAGGCAGGCACTGAAGGAAAGATACTTTGGTCCTGCACTCTCTCTTTGATTTCAAAGATGATCAGAAGCAAGGAATACATACCCTAAATACCACCAAGGAACCATATCTAGAAAATCAGGTTTCAATTGTTTTTTAATTCAACTTCTCATATTTCAAAGATGATCAGAAGCAAGTCATTTGCACTTTGTAGAAATGGTCATAGATATCACAAATTTGCAATTGGTGCAAGAAATATACCAGAAATTCAGAGAGTTCCTAGATGAAAGTAAACTTTCCCCATTCTAACAGGCAATATTTTCTTCTGATGCAGCATAATGAGCAAATCAACTCTTCTAAACCATTCCCATGCCTGACCTCAGAAAAGGAAAACTTCAGCTTTGCTGTCTTTAGCTAGGGATACAACTTAGGCAGGCCAGGTTGAGCATTTGATAAAGTTCTGAAGGGGCCTGGCCCAAGAGCAATAGCTGTTTGTATTTTCAATGATATTGGTTCTCTCTCACCTATAAATCAAGTTGTCAAACTTGGACAACCTCTCCATTGTCCAAGTTGTCAAACTAAACAAATACCAACCTCTTCACCCTACAAATAAAACAACCCTCTAAATGCCTCATTCCTTGCTGCCCCACCCACCTGCTGTACAAGCAACAGATGACAGAGATCAAAAGAAAACTGATATCAGACATTTGGGCCCCTAAGTACACTAGTGCATTAACCTGTTAATCTGTTTCTAACAGACCAAATCTTTTCATCAACTGCATGCACAATTGCAGCTTACTAAGGATTCATTACAAGGCTACTAGTACCAACTAACAAGCAAAACCCACCCAAGGCATAGTAGGAAGAAGATCTCAGTCCCCACCCAGCCACCCTAGCTGTGCTTTGTACATGTCTATGTAAGGGATGTATATTGCTAAAACACCCTCACCAAATGACATGAAAAGATAAAGGTACCTTTGATGTGCAAACATGTGGAGCAGATCTCTGTTCCTACTCCTGAGAGTCCTACTCTTGAGAGTAGGCTGAGTTTGTACTATTTATTTCTATTAATATTAGCTCGAATGTTAATATCTATTAATATTTCTACTAATAATTAGTTTGTAACTTTACCAGATGAGCACATACAAATGGAAGCATTCTGTGCCATGGGACTGTGCTGAAGGTTTAGTTAATTAGATTGTAACATGAAACAAAAGGAAACTATAAACTGTCTGAACTCTTTATTTCTAGGTTCAAACAATCAAACCAAAACAGCCAATCTGAGATACTCGTCCACCCAAAATAATTCAGACCACTCGAATAGCCCCACTCAGGTTGGATGTCTGAGATGACAAATTGGTTATGGGCTTGAGGTGGGCCGATGGACAACTCCAAGTCAGTGTTCACAGCAGAAGTTCCTGGAGCTAGCTGCCTGAGATTCACATTGCATGATCGGTTGAGGACACAGGTTGAAGGTTGACTCAAGGGATATTGCTGTACTAGCCAGGGTGGTGCATGCTTTAGGAAGATAACCATAATCTAGAATGGGGTGATTCATTGCCGGGATGAATGATGCAGTTGGAAGATCTGTTGTTGTTGCAGGATTTGTCAATTTACCACTGGAAATTCCTCCCTGTTAGAAAAAATCAAGGTTAATATTATCAATTGGACCAAAGGCATAGGAGCAGCAATGTAGAAATGACCAGTCATATAATCTTACCCATTCAGTTTTATGAGTACAGATATAAAAGGCTAATTTAGATAATTTTCAGGAACCATAAAACTCCTCTAGGATGAAATTGACTCATCTCAATCAATTTGGTTCTGGTGGCCAATCTGGCTAGCTAATGTGATTAGTTCTATATCAATTGGTTGAACTTTTAACCCATCCTCCAATGGTCTTAGATCCACTTGCTCTTAGCACTGTAGTCCTTCAAAATTGAACAAACTGCAGAGAAGTGAATGATTTATTACCATGTGTGGCATTCCAACAAAGTCAGGAGTAATCCAGGTTGCAGACATGGGCACAACTGTGGGACCTTCCAAGCCTCGAACTGCTACTTGTTTTGCAATCTGAGCTGAGGTACCAGCCTGTAGGTATCCACCAATTATATGATATTCGGCAAAGTACTGTGGCTAAATCTTCATTTTAATTCTGTTCACTTCTAGGGAAATGATCGTTGCAAACCTGTTCATGGAATTGGATAATTGGCTTAAGGGGTAAACCTGGGGCAGTATGACTTGGGTCCTATAAATTTAATGCCCTGGTTAGATGGGGAAAGGAAAAGACACATTTGGAGCTTCATAGAAGGACATTATAATGAAGAGATGAGGAAATTATAGGTCTTTGGATGGTTACATCGAATAGATTTGATCTGCGCTTCTTCCTATTGGAGGTAAACTGTCTAAGGAAATTCTTCTGTCCATGACTAGCTACCTGGGTTGGAGTTCGAGACAGCACAAAGTTCCTCGAAATACCTCTCCAGTCCCCCTTGCCGAGACTCTCCAGACCGGCTAGAAAAGTTTTGTGCTCTTCTTTAGTCCATGGGATCCCTGAGGGAAGAAAGGAAAACTTTAAAACATATTTGTGAAAAAAAAATGGAGTTCTTCAACCCCAATCAATATTAAGTAGACCACATATAGGTGAATAGTTACTTCAAAATAAGGCCATCTATGACCATTATTGCAAAACAACACCACATCCATGTTCAAATCTATTTTTTTTCTTGACCACTGGAGTCTGTGCAGCCCTTCAGTGGTAAGACTCCTCAAAGTGCCCCCAAAATTCACATGAGGGAATGGCATTGATTGCTGTAATACCTATGTCAAAGCACTCATTCTTACTAGTATCATCATCAGCATGGTTTTGCATATCCAAGCCATTACAAATGATTTTTCCTATTTTACTGCTTACTGTGTATTGGTTCAGAAATTATTTGGTTAATAAATAATGCATTACCCCAAGGTGGCTTGTATTAATGTGTTTTTTTTTTTTTTGAAAACGTAAAGTATTGTATTGTACTAGTATAAAAAACGATTAGCATAGCTATACAGCTCCATAGGATATACAAATTGTTAGCAAGGTATTAACAGTTAAATAGCATGTCCTGGTCAAAATTATGTGATTGTCCAGCTCACTGAATTCCCTGTGAAAATACAGCCATGAGCAGAGCATCCCTTTGATGTTGGACAATATAGTTTGATAATCCGAGCTCACATTATTGAAGATCCGAGCATTCCTTTATCCTTTCCCTCCAAATACACCAAGGCCCTGTTTGCTTTTCGGTAAGTTATTTATCCGGTAAATGCAGTTACCTGTGTAAGTTTTTTCTGGGAAACACTTACTCGGATAAGTACATTTATCCATGTTCTTTTATTTCTCGTGTAGATAAGGCAATGATCATTTTAGCCATAAAAATCCATAATTAAAAGGGGCAATTTTTGTCCCATTTTAGTGTTGGCAACTTTCCCCCTAATGGGAAAGTATTTACCCACCTAAGAGATGGGGTAAATGATACCTAGGAAAATAAACTTTCCTTGGTTCCCACATAAATATGAAAAAAAAAATGAGATTTTTGGTCAATGGAAACCAAAATCCCATTGACCAACTTTCCCCCCTCTCAAAATCCAAAAAAAGAATGCCCCCCAAATAACATCCATACGAACCATATCCCATAGGGTTTGACCTCTCTTGCTCAAACATTTCAAAATCCAGCTTTTGAGAAAGGAGAGAATGGATGAGGGGAAGCAGCCAGACCAATCAAAAGTTCCCAGAACTACATTCCATGCCCTATGTGCATGCTGACAATGAAGAAAGATGTGATTAGCTGTTTCCAACTCAGCAAGGCAAAAAATACAGCCAGCTTGATCCAGTTTCATTCCTCTGGTTAGAAACTTATCCTGAGTTGAACACTTCCCTAGAGCAGCAAACCAGACGAAGGATTTGGCCTTTGAAGGGGCATTGTTCTTCCGGATTCTAGAGGCAAGGAAAGAATTGGGGACTGCACCAGCAAGGAGCTTGTAGAAAGAGTTCACAGCGAATGAGCCACCTTTCTCACCCACCCACATTCTAGTGTGTTGTGAGTCTCGCTTGGGAGAATGAAGGTGCAGCACATGGAGCATTTCCCATCCATTGATCAAACTCCCAGTCATTCAAATTCCTTCTGAAAGATGGAAACTAGTTGACAACACTATTGGAGATAGAGAAACAGTTCCTAATTAACCAACACCCCACTATCCTGATTTGCCAAGAATAAAGCTGGGTAATGGGTATAACTCCATTAGAGGTTTCTGCCCGAACCACTTCTCCAACCAGAATTTGATTACGCATAGACTACTCACTCCACGACCCATTTTCTAATGGTTTAAGTTAAAATTCTGGGACACTGCATAGATTACCAATAGATGATACAAATATGAATATAAATAGGAATGTGAAAATTGATTGTACATTCTATAAGTAGAAATGCACGAGACCGGATTGACTGGAGACAAAAGCATGTATATCGGGCTAGGTTATCTATCATGAGTGTACGTGACGTGATTTTTGAACCACCATTGACCCAGATGGTCAGACCGTTCGGCTTGGAAATTTTCTAGGCAATCGATTTCGTTTCACACTTAACTTGTTTTTGGCCAAAATTGTCGGCTTGATCAGCAACCCGCTCGACCCAGACAACAGTTTTGGCCATTTTATTTTAATTATTTTTTTATTTTTTTAAATTAGAACGAACTATCCATTCAAACCATATGATTGAACCACTGACCCAAAAACCAGTGGCCAAAATGGTTCAGGTACTGGGTCGGTTTTTAAAAACCATTGGTATATGCCAATTTTCAGTACAGGTGGGGCTCACAATAAAAATGTCAGTGTTCACTTGTGATAGATAACCCAGTCCGGTGTGCATGATTTTATCTTCAACTCATCCGCACTAGAAAATCCCCAAAGAAAATAAAAGTGTTCGAATGAAATAAGCTACACTTGTAGTTGAAATTCACTAGACAAAACTGATGCCGAACCCACCTTTAAGCCCCAGATCAGAAGAGCAAAGTTTAGTTAACTAGTTTGGCTATTGCTAACGGAGTGTGCTTGAATTCATTACCAAATCAAAACGCAGTTTGATTGGGCTGGGCTTGCCTCAGGTTAGGCCAGGTCTTGGGCTGGCCCCATGTCAACTCGTCCAAGTTGCACCAAAAGATATACTCAGAAAAAAAGGGGCCCTATCGGTCTTTTTAAAAGGGCCCCCTCCCTGTTAGAGTCTGCACTTGACTTTTTATATATCTTCAATTAAAATATGCTCCAAAAATCTTATTTACAGCATAGGAAAACGCGTTATTGCGTTAAGCTACAACCAAAAAAAGCAATAAAACCTTTAAGCCTCTACCCCAAAGTTAGTACCTCCAAAAGACAGTTTGTTCTTCCACAACGCGCTAGACTACAAACCAAACAGATTGTCGGGTTCTCGAGATAGTACTATCAAGGGAGCTTCTCTTCCGGTCTTCCTTCCTTCCTGTGCTTTGGTTTATAGTAAATGCAACCAAAGAAATTGTCAATTGAATGAAGGAGCTTCCAGCACAAAGATATAATTCTATTGACCGCAACGCATGGCTGATATATATGTACTATTTAAAAGAAAAACAAGTGCCTAAGATGGTTTTTAAAACCCGATCGGACTGGATGGTCAGATCAGAAAAACCGTGAACTGGTCAAGTGACGGGTTCCGCTTTTCCTCAAAACTGGAATTTTTCTAAAAATCGTTGATTTTGGTCAGTAAATCCCGGGCGATTAATTGTACGAACCACTTTGACCGTTTTTTATTTTTTGTCAGAACGGACTGACCGTTTGGCTCGAACAGTTGAATCATTCGACCTGGGAACCGGACTCCTGATCGGTTTGTTCTCCGAGTCAATTTTAAAAACCTTGGTGCCTAATACCAGAATAGGTCTCTCGATCAGAACATGGCCCTAAGCAGATTAATCTTTTGTCAAAGTGGGACCTTCCCTCTATGTCGTAGGATATGTTTGGTATCATTTTCGTTTCCAGTTGAAACCCTGCCACATCAGCACCACCTAGGCATTTTGAATTGTAATGGGAATTTTTTATTTGATTGAGACTTTTAACTCAAAACAGTCTAAGAAATGTTTTGCCGGAAGGGGTATTGGAGGAAACTTCAAATTGAGGTTCCCCCATTGTGTCTCACAATTCTTTAGCTTATATGACACTTACCTGTCATCCTGTGGCATGGTGATGAATTAATATGGTGCATCACGTATCATACAACACTTTGAGCAAAGCTATACAACCTGTCTTCACCGTACAAGTTCCATCGTCGTCTTCTTCTCAAAGCTGCCTGAAGCTCTTGATAACACTTTTATACATAACACTCCTGTACATTGGAGGAAAAAAATTAAATCGTAGATTTAGAAAGTTCTTGTCCATTAGATTGGTATAACAGTAATTGGAAGTGTGATTGGTGTTACATATAATTAAAATGAAATCGTATAATTGGAAAATTCTTGTTTGGAAAATTCTTGTCCATTAGATTGGTATAACAGAAATTGGAAGTGGAATGGGCAGCAATGGAAACAGGTGGATTCGGAGAGGGTTTTATAAATTCTAGACCCCTGTACCCCTCCCCATAACCTATACTAGGTTGGATTTTCAGAAATCAAATTTTCATCGCACAAGAAAATGCAAAAAACTCACCGACCTACCTTCCCCATTTGAGGGTGGGGCAGATTAGATTGTTGGGTTGGGCCCAGAACTTACATCTAATTTCTTGTTATTTCTCGTCATATATAGGCAATAAAGAAATAAAATAACATGAAAAAATATCAAAATTTTCAATTATTTGATTATAACATGTAACATGTAGAAGACATATAGACTATCAAATTTTCTTCATATAAAATTCATAATATTATTAAATTCAACACATAATGCATAAGTTCAGATGCCTTCCAACAATATATGAGTTGGTGTTGGGTTTAGCCTAATACTATACCCAACTTGCACCAGTACGGATTGTAATATCCCAAAATTCTCCCGTCTCAAAATCCATTTTTCAATTCAGAAAAGAATGCTCCATTAGGGACAAATACGAAATATATATCCACCGGATAGGGTGGAAATTTCCCTCCTTAGTCGTTGGCAGTATTTTCACATGATGGTTGATTCAGGTGGTTGAACTCATGACCTAGTGACCGGGCTCCAAACTTGCCACCTGGCCATCTTTCGGGTCCACAAAACCTCCGGGATTCAAAATACTGATAGCTACCTAGTCGATCAATATCAATAAGGGCTACTTGGAATTAAAATTTAAAATATGAATGCCTACTTTACAACCATGAGAGAAGTCCCCACTCCCCAGGCCTGTGGGTTGTATCACGTACGAAACACATTTTTCTATTTGGTTGAAAGCTTAAATCACTTCCAGAGGCAAGAGGAATCTAGTTACCTCATGGAATCCAGCCCCAGGATCACATATATCTGTATTTGTGGCTGAAGATGTGAAGTAGGGGAAAGGGGGAAAGTGACTTCTCCTTCTCCCATTGGAGAACTGCCCTAATCTTTAGTACCATTTTTGCATCTCTTTCTAACTTTTTGAAAACAGTCCTCTGTCCCATTTTGTCTAAATTAAATTGCCATTGAACCTTTCATTATCCTTTTGTAGAGTCTGTATAAAGTCTCAGACAATTATACATCACCTTTATCATTTTGATTTGCCTCTTGAACTCATTCATCTTTCTTTGCCCATAAATAGACTTCTTCTTTTTTTTTTGAAAGGCCACAATGAAAGTAAATCTCTAGGATTTCTTCAATACTCATTTCCATGCAAATAATAAAATGCTCAAAATTGGGGACATGCTATCCCTCTTTAACACGACATTAGTAAGTGCTTTCTTTATCATTTGAATAGACTGACTCCACTAACACATTTGTCTGCATTTGCACTGGTGTAAATGTATGGGAGTGTAAATTTTGGTTTACTTTGTTTCATATTTGACTTTATCTTGTCTATTTGTAAAAAACAAAACAATTGATAGGATGTAATTGGTGTGATCCCACCTTATATGCAAGAGAATGGAGGTTCAGTTAATTATTATTTGGAATGAGGCAAGATGATGTGATTCTCACTTTATGCAGAGAGAATTGAGATGGGAGAAAGGCAGCCTAAATTTTATATCAGTTTTGAGATGCAAAATTTACACTTCTAGCGAGTACAAATGAGACAATGGTGCAACATTTGTATCTGATTCAGATTTGCACCACAACCAAATACAGCCTTTATATT